GTAATACGTTACTCTAGTACTCTGTACCAACTCCAACAGGGCCACACGCGGCGCCCGCTGAACATACTCGTAAATTGTGTATACCTGCATCGCCTAACGGTAGCTAGAGCGGTAGCTCCACCCGCCCGCCGCCACCGCGCCACCGCGCCACCGGGCCGCGCCCTCGACGATGTCTCGTGCGGTCACAGCGCCCGCGTGCCCACGCGCATACGTGGCCACGCGCCAGACGGCTCCCCCTCCCCCTCGGCCTCCGTCAGGGGTGCCGACGCGTTGGTCCCGAGGAGGTCGGTGTAGATGCGCGCGCGTGCAAAGATGCGCTGCGGCGCGAAACGGCGCGCGTAGAGAGCCGCCACGCTAGCGTTTGTTTGTAGCGGCCGCGTGCTGTCCGACGTCGAGCCGCGGATCAGCCGCTGCTCGAGGATGGATGGCAGAGCATCGACGGCCCCGAAAGTGACCAAGCCGGCGTACTCGTGCTCGTCCTTGTAGTACGCACGCTCCGAGATGACCGTCGCGCCGCGCGAAAGCAGCAGGCTGGTGCGGAAGACGACCGGATTGTGCGAACTTTGCGCGTGGCCGCACTCTTTGTGCAAGTTCAAGTGCGCAGCCCAACGGCCGGTGCCCGCCCAAAAGGCCTCAAACGCCGCCTCGCTCCAGACCGACCAAGTGGCATTCAGACGGCCGCCGAGCACGCGCTGCAGCCGCGCGTAGCATCTCTTGCGCCCGCTCTTGTAGAAAGGGAAGCCGAAGAAGAGGAGATCGGCCTTGGTCTGTGGACCAAGCGCAGCGGCGTCGGCAGCCGCAACGGCGCGCCCCTCAGACTCGCTCGGCGCGGTGAACCCCAGCGGCACGTAGCGAAGGGTTAGGCCCGCGGGCAGTCGCGGCGCGCATGCGTCGAAGTTGTGCCAACTGAACTCCCACAGCTCGCGCGGGGCGCTCCTTGCGAGCAGACATCCATCGGCCGGCTCCGTCTGGAAATAGACGGTTCGCACGCCCTGGGTGCTGAGTGCGTGCCAGGGTGGTTTGTCTGAGCCGATCGGCCCAATCCTGCCCGGCGGGGAGGGGGGGGGGGGGGCGTGGGGACGGTGGCAGTGCGGCGGTGCCTCGCCGGTGCGCCTCTCACCACACAAAGATGTCGCCATCGCGCAAAGTCACAAGCTCGGGGCTCTCCATGTACAGCACACCATACCCCTGCACGATCAAAGGCTGCGATCGCGCCGCCTTGAAGCCGCCAACGAGCGAGTCGACAACGGGCTTGTACATGAATGAGAGATCAAAGCCACCGCCCCTGGCCGCCCAAATGATGACGGCACGCTGCAAAGGCGCGCGCGACGAGAGCCCCAAATCCATCGACTTGGCGTGCGTGCACGAGCAGTTGTACGCTGAACGGCCTGAGGGGGGCGGGCGGGGGCGGGGTGCCGAGGGCGGAGGGGGGGGGGGGGCGGGGGGCGGGGGGCGGCCTGGCGGGTAACCGCAATGTACTGGTCTGGAGCCGCAGCGAAACTTGCCTCGACAATTTGCGACCCACATGCTGCCGTTCGCAGGGTCACACCCGAAACTGCGCCCGAGCACGCACGGCGCGAAACTCGTCTGCCTCACGAGCTTGCATTGGGCGCGCGACACTCCTGGCGCATCGTGCCCTGGTTTTGCGAGTCGTTGGGCGCGGCGGGGTCGCCGAGGCGTCCGCACATGCTTGGTCGCGGCCGTCGCCGCCGCCTGCTCCCGTGCCGCCGCCCACGCCGCCGCTCTCCACCTATCCGTCGCCGCTGCCGCCACCGCAGCGGCCGCCTCCTCCGCCGCCACCTCTGGCGCATGCTCGCAATGGCGCGGGCACTGCTCGGGGGTCGGCTCGAGCTGCGCGCGACCGTCGCGTCCGACGAAGCAGCCGCCCCAAGCGTGAACAAGCAGCGCATCGCCCGATCCGGTGAGCCGCGCGCGGTCTTGCAAGACGCGCACGGCCTGGAAGTTGGAGAGGAACGCGGTAAGAGGCGGCTGTGTGTGTGTGTGGGTGGGTGGGTGGGTGGGAGGAAGAGGCGTGACTGAGTCACGCACGGCCTGAAGTTACCTCGAAGTGACGCCGCGCGATTTGAGCACACACAGCCGAGCTGAAGCTCGGGGTAATGCGCAGGACCTGTGGGGAGGAGGGTCTGGTCCTGTCGATGGTGCCTATACTGCCTGCGGGGTGGGGTGGAGGGAGGTGGAGTGCTGGCGAGGGAGAAGGAAGAGTGTCGCAAGAGCCTCGTGCACGTGCTGCGCCCACAGAAAGTGGCTCCACTTTCTGCCAATGCCGAGCTCCGCGTTGCGCGCGGCGTACGCGTCCCACTCGCTCGCGATGCGACCCCACGAAGCGACGAGCGCCGGCGGCCCTGCCAGCCACCAATCCATCACAAAATACGACCGCTCCACGTCTGCCGCCCTGTAACCACCGTGAGCCGTGAGGGGACAGTTCACATGCTTGTACGGTCGCACATTTCACCACGCCGATGGTGGGCGCCAGCGTAATCGGCGACGGCGCAATGCGCGAGGAGCGGCAGCCGGGGTGTGCCTGTATAATAGCCGAGACTAGGGCCGAAAATAGCTGAGATTTTGCCGAGATGAGGCGGGCGCGGCGCTCCCGCGGCCGCGCAAGTCGCAGGCGGACTCTTCCGATGCTTGCAGCACCAGTGCGCGAAGGTGACCTACTCACTGGTGTAATTACCGTTGAATTAGTTGGAGAGGCAGCACGCGTGCGCGGCGGAGCGACCGTCTCCGCGGGCATCCGGTGCAGGTCTACCGGAGAGGAGAGCACCGCGTCCGTCCGGATCGCCAGCGCGAGGGTGTACGTCACGTTCCGCAGCGCTGCAAACTCGCGCATCAGCAAGGCGGCCCGCCCGATGGAAAGGGCCTGCGAGCGCGCCTTGAGCGCCTGGCTGGTGTACTGCGGCGGCTCGTGCCGGCTGCCCCGCAGCACGACGCCGTACGCCTCGTCGAACCACGGCGCGGCCTCCCGGTTCCAAGAATGTGCGAACACGTCAACTTGCTCCCCACGAGCGGCCGCGTCAACCACGTACTTGAGGTGACTCGCCGCGCAGTGGCGGAGCAGCATGCGCTTTCCGGCGTGGCCTCCGTCGTGCCACTTGCTGTGAAAGTCGGACGAGCTCGAGCGGACCTCGGTTCCGAGCATGCCGTGAAGCAGTAGCGCAAACCGGTGCGGCGAATCGCCGCGGCGCTCCTCCGCCTCGCGCGGGCGAGCGAGCGCCTGGGTCTCCTCGTCCGAAAGCGTCCAGAATGGATCTCCTCGTCCGCTGCCGCAGCTGCAGTTGTACGCTGGTGCGCCCTCCGGGTAGCCGCAGCGGAACGGGGGCCGTCGGCCGGCACAACGGAATACACCTCGGCAGTTTTGCACCCAGATTGAGCGTGACGTGCCAAGGCAGCCGAAGCTGACGCCGCGCTCGCACCTGGCGAAACTGTGCTGCTCCACCAGTGATGCCCCGCAGGGCATTCGCGCCAGAGGTGAGACACGAGTTCAGACTGCCCTCCACGCACAGACGCCTTGCTCTAAAGAACAGCGCTGATGGCTGACCTCGGAATGTGACACAGAATGGCTGTGCTGGCACCTTCACAGCCATCTTACCTACTGTCCAAGCCTAAAGTCTGGGCAGGTTACTCAGGACACGATCCCGGCGTGAACACAACTAACTGACGGATCCGCTCCTGACAGTCGCACGCGCCGCGCTGCGGGGCGTGCGACTGTCTTTGTTTGAAGTAAAAAGTCGAATCAGAGCGCCGTCGGCGTTGTCCTGAGTTTTCTCCCCTGGACCGCCCGTCCCGGCACCGCTCCGGGACGCACGCCGGCGAAGCACCATCAAGCAACAACTCTCTCCATCAAGCTGCTGTACGGCCCCGGCATCGCCTCCCCTGGCTTAGCTAGACTTAGAGATATTGTGCTCATGGACAGTCTCTACAATAAGCCGCCTACTGCAACAGCGGCGGCACCACCGCCGTCACCGACCTCACCACCGACACCACCCTCGCCATCCTCTCCCAAACCACCAAAGGTGGTGCGCCAATTTGCGTCTGACGACGTGCCACAATCTGCGCTTCCGTTCGACGCTCTGAACGCTCGGGCGGCGCTCCTCTCACAGGCAGCAGCGCTCTCACAGCCGCCTACCCCGCCCACCGCCGACCCCACCAAGATCGACCTGACGAACGTCCCGGAAAAGGCCTCTGTTGCGGCAGCAGTGGCATCACTGTGGCGGACGTTGACCGATATCGTCGCTCCCGCTCCGCCCCCCACACCGCCGCCGCCAAAAGGACGGAAGGGGGGTGGCGGAGTCAAGAAGCGGGCGGTCAAGTCGCGTCTTCGCACGGCGATGGAGAGGGTCAGCCCGTCGACTGTATTGACCTCCTTCAAGCGCTTCTCTACGCCCGAGCTCGAAGATCGCACCTTACGGAACAACGTCCAACATCATGGCTATTACCGCGCTTGGGGTTTCCCAACTCAGAGTCAGGACCTACAACACGAAAATTGCCGCAATCTACGGAGAATTCCGACGCGAGGTGCTGCGACCGTTCGCCAGGGACCGTGTCGGTGAGCTCGCTCCGCGGCAGGAAAGAGGTCGGCGCGACATCTACGGGACCGGAATGAACCGGACTGTGCACTTTTACCCCGATTTCCAAGTCTAAAAATACGCCTACCAGCCGCCCAGGTTTGGCCAGACAAAAGGCGAGAATGATCGCCTGCGTCGTGCTGCGGATGGCCGGCAAGATCAGCACCGCCGCCGCAAATGCATGTCGACCATTGCATTCGTTACCGCCGGGTTTCGCTGAGACCTGCGACTGCCAGGCAAAGCGGAGCATGATTAAGGCAGCAGTCGAAAACCTCGATGTGAGGGTGAGGGGGCTCGAGATCGAGGAGGCACAGGGCGAGTGACGAAGTCAGTTTCCAGACGGTTTGTGGTGTGTGTGTGTTTATAAAATGAACGGCGTGTTTAGTGTGGAGGCAGGGCGGCGCGCAGAGGCACATGGACGCATGGGTGGCAGGCGCGGCGCGCGCCGTGCGGAGCGGCGCGCCGAGGTGGTGCCATCAGCTCATCGAAGCGCAGGAGAATGGGCGCTGCATCTCTCCGTTCACAAACATCCCTGCGTCGCTCCGAGTGCCGCTGCACCTGCACCGCGACGCGTACCTCGCCGAGGTGCAGCGGGCCAGTGCGCCGCAGACGAATCTCACGTGGATGTCGGGCCAGGGCCAGGATTGGTGGGTCTGGTACAACCACGCGCGCTTCCTCAACCGCAACGCGACGTACGTCGACCTCGCCGCGAACGACGCGATCTGGCGCTCGAACACGTACTTCTTCGATGCGTGCCTTCACTGGCAGGGTCTCCTGATCGAGCCCAACTCGGTGCACTACGCGCGTCTCCGCCGCGAGCGAAGCGGTACGCTTGTGCCGTCATGCGTCTCCAACACGACGTCGAACGTGAGCTTCCACGAGGGGCTCGGCTGGCGCGGCGGGTCTTCCAAGATTCTGCCGGGTGCAGCGCGGCCGGAGGGCCACGGCGTGCGGACGGTGCAATGCCGCTCGCTGCAGTCCATCATTCTCGAGGGCGGCCATCGCCACATCGACTTCCTCTCGCTCGACGTCGAGGGCCACGAGGTGCAGGCGCTCTCGAGCATCGACCTGAGCAAGGTGCGCATCGACATCATCATCAGCGAGAACCCGCGCGTCGCCGAGCTCCTCCTGCGCAACGGCTACCGCCTGCAGTCGAGCGCGCACGACACCATCTGGCTGCGCAGCCATTTCCAGCCCGCCATCACGCGGCACGGAGGCAAGGTCACCGACCGCACGTCGAGCGGTTTTGAGAAGAGGAGGTGCCGTGAGACCGCTGGCCGTCCAAAGTACAAGCTGCGTGGGGCCAGATCAGAGCAGCTATCCAAGCGTACGGTGCTTGGATAGCTGCGCGGGAGGCCCGAGCGCGTCCTTTGTGGAGTCTACGGAGTCTACTTCCGAGCGGTATGGAACAGGCATTGAGGATAGAGCAAAGAGCAGAGAGCAGAGTCGTGTCAGTTAGAGTAATAATATAAGAGACATAATTGCCGATGTATCGGGACTATCGGGAATTGGGAGGTAGACAGACGAGGACGCGGCCCAGGCGGCCCAGGCGGCCCAGGCGGCCCATGTCCCCAGTTAGTGTTGGGATTCGTGCTGCTGTGATGAATGTGTGATGTAGGTAAGGTAAAATCTCTAAAATCTCTACAAGACATACCCGCGTGAGAGACACATGTCATGCCGATAGAAGACCTTCCCTCTGGGTACGGGGCGCACTATCCGTGGCGATGGCGATGAGTGATGCTGAGTGGTCTGACCTCATGCCGTATGCGCCGTCCGCTCCACGCGGCGCGCGTTTCAGGCACAGCCACTGCCCGCAGGACAGTCTCCGCCGCGTAGTCCAGCACGTGCACGGCGTGGTAGTCGTAGTCGTACAGCATTGCCCCCGGCCGCGCACCCCCCCAAACGATACAAGCGGCGAACGAGGCGGCGTCGGCGATTCGAGCCATCTCGTCGACGAACGCCACCGTGCTCTTGCTGGCGTGCGACGACGACGCGGACTCGCCCGACGCACCTGGAGAACAAAGAGATGCTGCTCATCAACGGGCCGAGCCGCACCTCTGCCGTCGACCCGGAGGAGACGCGCCTCGAGCTGCGGGACCTCCCGACGACGGACCGACCGACGACGCGCGTGTCGACGCGTCGGATGGCACCGCGTCGACGCGGACGCGGACGTTGCTGAGCAAGAGGCGCGGCGCCGCTCCGCTCACGTCCACATAATACACCGGCTGCTCAAAGTACGCGACCTTCGCAATCGTGGCGATGCTCTCGGCATTCGTCGCAGACCTTGCAAACGTGCGTTGATGGAGCCGCTGCCACGGACTCGGGCACGGCGGGCACCGGCACAGCGACCGCGCCGGCGGCCCCGGCCCTTGCCTGCGCCGCCTTGACCTGCGCCCTGGCCCTCGCGCTGGCCCTTGCGCTGTCCACCGCATCGCCGATGTCTCTGCCCAGTCGGCGTGCACCGTCGCTGCCTGGATTGCAATGGTCACCCTCTTCGTGTATGGAGTCGTCACCGGCCACCCCAAGCCGTCGAGCATCCCCGAGGCCACCCTCTCGATGACGGCGCGATCGGGCGCCACAAGCGCCACCACGTTATCCTCAGCTGCCTCAGCCGCTGCCTTGACGATGGCCCTGCTCTCAGGCGTGCCGCCCGTCGTCACGATCAAAATCTGCTGAGCCACCTCGACACGCCCGCTTAAGATCGCCGCGTGCACCGCGCGCACAGCTCGCGCGGCGTGCGGGAGCATCGTGTCTACTTCGACCACGAACACCTTGCGACCGTAAGTGGCGCCGAAGAGGCGGGTCAGTGTGCTTGCGATCGCCTCCTCTGGCGCAGCGAAGATCATGTCCCCGCCCTCGAGCATGACCTGTGATCGGTCTGAGGCGCGAATGCATGTGTCGATCAAGTGGCTCTTCCCGCACGCGGTCGGGCCAGTGACAACGATAGCGTCGTCCTGGGTAGGGGTAGCGCGCGGCGCAGGGGTAGTAGGGGGGGGGGTATGGAGGGGGGGGGGGACATCGGGTAGGTGCCACCCGGCGCAGGGGTAGGGGTGGGGGGTAGGGGTGGGGGGGGGGGGGTAGGGGTAGCGCGGGGGGCGCAGGGGTACCGCGCGCAGTGCGCGCGCAGTGCGCGCGCAGTGCGCGCGCAGCGGGTTTGATTAGAAACGCGCAGCGGAAAATCGGATTTCTTTTTTCCCTCCGTCTGTCTGGCGTCTGTCTGGCGTCAATGCCCCCCGCCTTCTTCTGGCATCCACACCATATCGCACACCACCCACGAGAGTGCATCGGCAGTTTGCATTGCTTGCTGTGTGCCGCTGCATTCTGGTGCTCGAAGACCAGCTTGCATGCAGCACAAGCAAACGGCCCATCGTTGCCGTTCATCGCGCTGCGGCCAGTCTCAGCACCGCCCAGCGAGCGCGTGGGCGTGTGCCGTGTGGCTGGCGTGACAACTCTGGAGACTCTGGTAGCGCTCCTTCAAAGAATTCGCGGATCGCGCCAGCCACTCGCCCGCATCTAACGGAGCGTGTCAACACCTCCCGAGTGGCGGTGTTAACACGTTTGAACACCTCTACGGCTGTGGTGTTACCCGTTAATTGTTAACGTTAATCCACCAGCCCTGGAGTGAATTGGAACTGCCTAGATAGTAAAATCGCAACCTGTTACACGCCTTACCCAAGAGCGCCAACCACTCTTTGGAGCGCCGCCACCAGGGTATGTTGAATGTTCGCACCCTCCCCCCGCGGTCGAGGTCATGATGTTAGAGTCGAGAGTGGACAGAAGGGCTGAGCCGTCTGCCACGCACCCCCGACTGCGAGAGCTGGTGTGCGCTCCCGCCCCGCGACCCGGACCCACTCCCAGTCACAGATCTAACGTGGCCGCTCGGACCGACCTCTACGGGGGCGGGCTTCTTGGTGAGTCAGGCGGGTGCCCGTCGAGACTCCTGCCCTCCTCCCACGCCTTTGCCCGCGCCGCCGCCTGCGCCGCCGTGATCTGCAGGTAGTTGTACACCACGAAGAAGATGAGCGTGATCACGTAGCCGCACGCCTGCGTATGTGTGTAGGAAGGTGAAGAACAGCCAGGCTCGGACTGGACACCAGCGCGGTATGGGTGGACGCGAGACAGATGATGACGGCACGCTCGAGCGACACACAGACACAAACAAGCTCACTAGACACGCCTGCAGCGACGGCGGATGCAGCGAGGGCGGTAGCGCGGAGGGCGGTGGCAGTGAGGGCGGAGGCGGCGAGGGCGGCAGCGAGGGCGGAGGTGTAGAGCGCAGGGGGCGTGGGGCCGTCACAGCCTCGCTGGGGGAAGGGAGACGGGGCGTATCTCACGGACCCTCTAGCGCGCCGGGGAGCTCTCGGGGACTCTCGGAGATTCGCGCCTGGATCGGGCTGATGACCTCGCCGAAGAGCACGACGCCGCTCACGACGACGCCCGCGTTGCGCGAGATGGAGAGCAGCTTCAGCATCACCACGTTTGTGCGCTGGATGACCAGGAAAGAGGAGAGGTTGATCAGGCACCCCAGCAGGCAGGTCAGGCCGATGCCGACCCAGAAGGGCTCGATGGGCGGGTTGCGGATGTCCCCGGGCTTGAAGCGGGGCAGCTCGATGGTGGCGGCGGCGGCCGCGGTGAAGACGAACGTGGCGGGCGAGATGTACAGCAGCGCCTCCACCACGTGCATCTTGTATTGGCCGAGCAGCTTTTGGGTCAGGATCAGGCGCGTTGCCTCAAAGTACATCGACGAGAAGAAGATGAGAAGGCCGACGGGAGACGCGTGCACCTCGCCCGCAGAGGCGATGGTCGTGCCGACGCAGCTGGCGAGGACCGCAAGGACGGGCTTACGCTCCGGGTACCCGATCCCGAAGAAGCCCTGCATCATCATCGTCACGAGCGGCGCGTACCCCTTGAGGATCTCGATAAAGGAGACGGAAAGGTAGAGGTACGCGCTGTTGCCGGCGCAGAGGCAGGTGGCGGCGGCGAAGCCGACGACGACTGACGCGCGTATAAGCGTGCCGTCGAACTCTCTCCTCGGCATCTCCCACTCGATGCAGCGCATGCGGGAGAGCAGCGCGGCGGCGACCGCAAAGACGACGGTGGCGGCCTGCGTGAGGCTAGTGAGCACGATGGGGTATGGGAATCCGGAGGTGAGGAGGTACTTGTTGTTCAGGATCAGCAGCGGCCCGACCAGCGTGTACAGCACGCACACACCCACGGTGATGGTGATGTCGACCACGCTGCCACAGCGCCAGCTCTGCTCCTGCGCCATCGAAGCTGGCGGGACGCTGACATCCTCGCCGCTTGCGTCGGCCTTGCGCAGTGGCTGCACCTCCTCCATGTGGCTATTGCGCATGCGTGCGCCACCTCCACCATGTGGGCGCTTGCGGGCTTCCTAAGTTCGAGCTCTCAAAAACAAAGTTCTTGCACTCCGGATGGCGGCGTGCCGTCGTGTTCTCGAGGTTCTCGAGGTGGATATCCTTTGGCCGCGTTGGGTAGCGAGGATTGGTGTAACCCGAGCCACGGAGGCGTGTTTTCTGACGGCCGACCGTCAGTGCACGGAGTTACCCCTTCTTTCTCCGACTGTGCCCCGGCTAGTTCCCGAGGGAGGTCGTCGGGTGTGACCCCTGCGTCCCCCGAGACCTAGCGCGTCGTCGTGTGTGTGTGTGTGTGTGTGTGTGTGTGGTGGAGGTGGAGACTGGAGGCAGTGGTGGACCTATATTTGATGGTGAGAACGAGGACTGTGCGGACTGGGGGTTCAACCGGGAGGCAAAGGGTTCAACTTGGCGACGGTGGATTGTGCTTTGTGGGCCGTCGCGGGCACTGCATGCATGCATGCATCGCCGGAGGCGAGGCAGGCAGATCCGGATGGTTTCACCCGGTGGGAGGCACGGCGGCAGGCGGACCATATGAAAGAGATCGGCGAGCTTTTCACGAAGCTTGACAAGGATGGCAGCGGCTCTCTGACTAAGGATGAGCTCAAGGACGTCGTGCAACGGTACACGTCCAAAGCGTTTAACGAAAAGGAATTCTTTGCGTGGTACGATGTCAGGGGCGAACCAGACCGTAAGATCGGCCTGACCGAGTTCTCCTGGTACCTCGCAGACCTCGCCTTTGCGTTCGAGGACCCCAAGAAGGCAATCTCTGCTGTCATCCAGGAGGTCGATGAGAAGAACACGGAGGCGCTTCAACACGAGGTGGCGGCTGATGGCCCCGAGGCGGCTGATGAAGAGCCCGCTGCGGCTACGGAATCGACAGAAGTGGGAGAGGCCGCCCCGCCCGAAGCGGCAGTAGAGGAGGCCGAGGCCGCGACGGAGGCTGCCGCGGAACCAGAACCGGAGGCGCCAGCGGACGATGTGGCGCCAGCTGCTTCAGAGGAAGCCGCGGATGCCGAGCCGGCCTCGTAGAATAGAGCCTGGCAGGAGATGAAGAGGATAGGCACGACGGGCCTGTTGGTGCATGAGTTTTGCGAGGCGGCAGGGCCCCTTCCCGCACGTCCAAGGGATCCGCAAGAGGTGCTGGAGCTCCGGAGGACGGGACCTGGAGGTGCGAGGACGGGGCCACGGGACACACGACACAGGACAGTGTGAAGAGTTCCGTTGGCGATTAGTTGTAAAATCGGCGCGCCTAAAGAAGACCAGTCGCCCCCACAGCGCACAGGCGCCTGCCTCGTTTTCTTTCTGGCATTGTGCGCTCTCACGCCTCAGAGTCGAGCTCACATGTACGGCTCCACAGTTCTCACAGAGTTGTCTTAATATAAATAAATAAAAACGGACACCTCGCTACTGTGAGAGGGGTAAAAAGGAACAGGTCCCCGCCCTTGGGGCCTTGTGATCTTCGTGCAGCGGTTTTGTCTCTGCTCTGTCGTCTGTGCTCTCTCATGTCTGTGAACGGAACAACCTTAATTTAACACAGCAAGAAAAGACATGCACTCACAATAGAGTGCTAGAGCGCGGCTGCCCGGCGCGGCCGCCCGCCTTGCCGCCGCCGCGCGGCACGGGCAGCGCGACGCAGCGGTCGACGCGGCGAGTGGTGGGGTGGCCGTAGAAGCGGCGCGGCGGCGCGGCGGGCGGCGGCGTGCCCGCCGCCTCCGCCTCGAGGATTGGCGCGAGCCACTGCGGCGGCGGCTGACGGGTGGCCTCGCGCACGAGCCGGTACACGGCGGCGTCGTCCTCGGCGAGCCGCTTGCTGATGGGGGAGCCGCCGCGCAGCAGCCGCTCGAGCACCAGCCGCGCGGCCTTCCACGCCCACGGGGTGGCGTAGTAGAGCGCCGTGTCGAGCAGCCGCTTCGGCGAGAAGCGCTTCGCCGGGAAGGACGCCAGGTCGAGCGTGATGCGCACGTCGAGCCGCGTGCGCGCGCCGCCCTCGTTCCGCGGCGGCAGCGGCGTGAAGCGGCACTCGGCGCCCCCGAACGGCAGCTTGCGCACCTTGCGCGCCCAGGCGGGCAGCGCCGCGCCCGTGTCGGCGTGCTCCGACGCCGCGCGTGCGTACAGGCAGCCCTCGGCGGCGTCGGCGAATCGGTCCTCGACAACGACCGAGTAGTGGAGCAGCAGCGACGGCAGCGGCGGCATGCGCAGCCGGCAGAGCGCCTTGGCCGAGAGCACGCCGTCGGCGCCTCCCCTCGTCTGCAGGTCGAGGAAGCCGCCCTCTGCGGCGAGCGGGTTCCAGGACGGCAGCAGGTCCGCCTCTGCGAAGAGCGCAAAGACCTCGGCCGCGCCGTGAGGCGCCTCGGCGACCAGCCGGATCTCGTACTCGCAAGAGTCGGCGGCGGCGCGGCCAGCCTCGCCCGGCCGCTCCCGCACTACGCGCGTGTAGACCTGGAGGTGCGCATCAGTGCCGGCGTCGCACTCCCGCGAGAGAGCCCACCCGTGCGCCTCCGCCTCGGCGCGAGCCGCGTGCACGGCCGCCTCGTCGAGCGCGGCGACGGCGGCCGAGGCGGCGGTGCTCGGCCGGCGGCGGCGGAGCAGCAGCAGCAGCAGCAGGCCAAGCAGCAGCGTCGGCAGCGCCGCGGCGAAGAGGGCGGGAAGAGGCGGCGAGGAGGGCGGCGCCGGCGGGAGCTCGCGCGAGGGCCGCCAGGGCCGCCAGAATCGCGAGCGCAGCATGTCCCGTGAACCCAGGGCCTCCAGGGCTCGCACCTCAACCTCTCACGACCGGCATAGCATGTGAAAATAGAGAAAAACGGATGCGCCAAAAAGAGGGCTACACACGGCCCTCTACGCTGGGCGCAGAACATTTTTTTGCCCGCTGTGTTGGTCCGTGCCCGACAGTCCGAGCCGAGAGTATATTGACGAGGCCGCACATTAATGTCTCTCTTCGCCTCGCTCGGCGCCGCCACGCTCGAGTACAGCACGCGCGAGCGTCGCGCCGCGCTCCGCCGGCCGCTCAACCTCTGGGACTCGCACTCGCTGAGCGGCTCGAGCGAGGGCTGCCTCTCGCCACAGCATCGCGGCCAGTCCTCTTCCGACCGCGCATCGTCCGAAGACGGCGACGAGGTGCCGTCCAGCCCCGGAGAACCGCGCTCGTCGGTCGGCGACGTGCTCGGCCTCCTCGCGTCGCTGGAGCCGCTCCTCGCGCTGACGCACGCCCTCGCGCTGGAGCGGGGCACCACGACGGGGTGGGTCGCGAGCTGCGGCACGAAGCTGGCGCAGGCGGCGGCGACCCGTCGCGCCGTGACGGACGCCGCACTGGCGGCCGCGCCGGGCGACCACGCCAACCTCGCCGCTCTGCTCAGCCGCTGCCGCACCTCGGCGGACCGCGACGTCGCTGCGGCCAGCAAGGGTTCAACGAGCGCGGCCGAGGAGGGGGCGGCCTTTGTGGCGACGATGGGCGGGTACAACGCGCTGGCGTACCAGGCGCTGGCGGTGCTCTCCGAGCTCCCCGCGTGCGCCGCCGCCACCGCCGTCTCCGAGTTTGCGGCGCTCAAAGAGACGTTTGCGCAGATCCGCGGCTATGTGACGGGGGCGCTGCTGCTGCGCGACGCGGCGCTCGCGGCGGTGCACGGCCAAGTCAAGGGGAGCCTCGTCATAGCGTTTCACCGCCGCCGCGCGTACGCGCGCTCGATCCGCCACCAGACGCCGCGCCGGCTGCTGCGCCTGATCGGTGCGGGGCTCGAGCTGCCCGCGGGCTTGGCGCAGGTCACCCACGCGCGCTCCGGGCCTTGCACATTGAATGCCATGGGGGGCTCCTGTCTCACCCGGCCTGGCCCCGCGCAGGTCGTGCAGCGCCTCGAGGTGGAGTGCGACCTCGTGGCCCTGCGCGCCACCCTCAAGCCGCAGCAGTGGTGGGGTCTCGTCACCGCCCACATCGACAGCCTCGAGACAATGCAGCACCTGCTCCTGGGCGCGTGCGCGCGGACGGCGCAGCGACGCGCCGCCGCCGTCGCGCTCGGCGCCGGCGCGCCCGCCGCGCCGCTCTCCACCGGCCCGCGCGCCGCCTCGCCGCGCCGCCGCCCCTCCCTCCGCCAGCTCAGCGACGACGAGCCGTCGGCCGGCTCGGTTGGCTCTGTCGGCTCGACGTGCTCGGCGGGTTCGGGCCCGGCGTCGCCGCCCCGCGGCGGCCACCTTCCCCGCGCAGCCGACTCGTACACGCGCCTCTTTGGAAGCCCGGGCTACACCGACCCGCCCGCGCTGCACCGGCGCCCGAGCGACCCGCTCTGCCGGCCGGCCGGCGGCAGGCCGGCAGGAGGCGCGTCGGCCGCGCCCGCGACGCTGCTCCAAGCCGCCGCGCTGCTGACGCTCGGCCGCGCGGCGGTGCGCCACGGCGCCGACGGCGCGAACGAGCTCGCCTCGCGCCTGTCGCAGCTCCCCGCCCGGAGGCTCAAGGAGTCACTCCTCGCGCTGGTCGACGAGCGGATGGCGCGCCACTCCGCCTCGCCCTCGCCCAACGCGTCGCCCGTGGTGACGCGGCTGCACGGCGCCGCCGGCGCCGAAAACACGCCGCCCGCCTCGCCGCCCGCCTCGCCGCGGAAGTCGCCTCCGAAGCCGGCGCTGCCCGAGGCGGCGCTGCTGCAGCCGCCCGACGGCGCGCGGCTGATCGGCCTCTCGGAGATCCTCTTTGCGCACCGGATCGGCGAGGGCGGCGCCGGCGCCACCTACCTGGCGCAGTGGAACGGCGCGACCGTCGCTGTCAAGGTTGCCGGCGGCGTCTGCAAGTGGCTCGAGTCGTGGCGTGCCGAGGTGGCTGCGCTGACCGAGCTGCGCCACCCGAACGTGGTCGAATTCCTCGGCTGCGTGGTGGAGCCGCCCACGCACTGCCTCGTGCTGCAGTTCTGCGAGGGCGGAGACCTGTACGAGGCGCTCCGCAGGCCGACGCCCCCGGGGCTCGCCCTCAAGGTGGGGCGCGGCGTCGCGGCGGGGATGCTCTACCTGTGCCCCCCAGCCGCAGCCGCGTCGGCCACTGCTGGGGACGCGCCCACGACCACGTCTCCGCGGTTGCGTCCTAGGCACAAGAAGAACTACATCCACCGCGACCTCAAGTCGTCGAACGTGCTGCTCGACGCCTCGGGCACCGCCAAGCTGATGGATTTTGGGCTCTCTCGCCAGCTCGATGTCGACGCGGAGGCGAGAGGCCGCGAGAGGCCGCGAGAGGCCGCGAGAGACGCTCGCCCCTCGCCCCTCGCACCGGAGGGGGCCTCCTCACCGCACCCCCCCCTCTCCCCCCTCTCTCTCCCCCCCCTCTCTCCCCCCTCTCTCCCCCCCGCGACGCAGGAGCAGCTGACAGCCGAGACGGGCACCTACCGCTGGATGGCGCCCGAGGCGCTCTAAATGAACTATTGATCAACTACCAATTAACTATTAATTAACCGCTGGATGGCGCCCGAGGCGCTCCCGGCGAGAGCGGGCGTGACGCGCCCCCCCTAGCCACGCCGACGTCGGACACGAGCCTCGTCCGCAGGTGATCCGGCACGAGCCCCATATCTCCCCATATCTCCCCACATCTCCCCATATCTCGCCCTCAGGTGATCCGGCACGAGCCCTACTCCGCCTCCGCCGACGTCTTCTCGTACGCGATGCTCTGGTTCGAGCTCATCACGCACGAGGTGCCGCGTGTGCGTGTGCCGTGTGCTTGCGTTGGGGTGGGGGGAGCGAGGGGCAGGTAGATCGCTCACCCACGTGCACCGGGCTTCGCACGTGGTGTGCTGTGGGGCTCCTGTCTGGTGGGTGGAGATGCGAGCCCCCCCCCCCCCCCTGCCCCCCCCCTGTGTGTGTGCGTGGAGAACTTCACCTCACCTTGCCTTAGGTGCCGTATGCCGACCGGCCGCCGCTGCAGGCGGCCGTCTGCACGGGGCTGCAGGGCTTGCGGCCGCCGCTACCCGCCGCGACGCCGCCCTCGGTCCGCTCGCTCATCGAGCGCTGCTGGGCGGCGCCCGAGGCGCGGCCCTCGTTCGCCGAGCTGGTGGCGCTGACGGGCGATCTGGAGCCGGCGCTCTCGCAGGAGGAGCGCGCCTGGCTCGACGCGCCGGCGGGGCACGCGGTGTCGTACGACGAGATGGCGCCGCCCAGGCCGGAGAACCAGCCGGGCGAGCGGCCGGCCGCTGCTTGCGGGGACGCTGGGGCGGCGTCGGAGGGCCCGCCGCCGCCGGCCGACTTGGCCGTGGCGGTGGCGCTCGCGGATGGCGCGCGGGCGCGCCGGAGCAGCGGTTCGCAGATCTGGTCCGTGCCGGTGTGCGAGCCGCCGTGAGGGGCGGGGCGGGGGCGGGGGGGTCGTGAGAAGGGGGCTTAGGGGAGGGGGAGGCTTGGGTGTTGCTCACGCCGTGTGCAACGGCCGGGCCGCAGACCCGCAGTGCGCCGAGTCGCTCGCGCACTGTCCGCTGGCTCTGTCTTTTGTGTGTGCCCGCTAAGAAACCACACACGCGAGTACGTACGGCTTTACGCCATTACGCGCGTTGCGACAAGTGAGTCTCTCAAGACAACCACGCGGCGGAGTTATAGCCATTTTCAGCTTTCGAGGGCGAGGAGGACGACCTACCTTCCCCGGTTCCCCCGGACCTGCCTCCTCTCCCCGGGCGCCCGGACCTGTCTGTCGCCATGACCCATGTGTTGCGTCGACCTTGAGCACTTGAGCACTTGATAGGGTCGATTCCGCATGGTACGGGACCCCTCGATCGTCTCGCCCTCCCTCACTGGTGTGTTCATTGGGGGGGGTCATAACGAACACGGTACAGGATTATCGAGGTGCACGCTGCCGAACGAGCAGTGTCGTCCCCCCTCGTCAGGGGCGGGGAACCCGCAATTTGAAATGCTCCGGCATCTCAAATTGCCCGATACGATCTCCATTTTAATTGAGATTGCCTCGAGCATCCCAAGATGCATGAAGCAATTCAGGATGCGCGCGCATCCTGAATTGCTTCATGCATCTTGAATTGCTTCGTGCATCTTGGGATGCTCAAGGCAACCAAAGATGCATGAAGCAATTCAGGATGCGCGAAGCAATTCAGGATGCGCGCAGGTCCTGCGCGCATCCTGAATTGCTTCATGCATCCTGGGATGCTCAAGGCAATCTCAATTATGCGCTGCATAGCGCAACGAGCAGCACGCTCGGCGCCTCCGCGCCGCAGGCTGTGAGACGTTGGGCGATCAGCACAGACGGAAGCGACACATATGCCGGTGTGCCGCCGCACGCCACACACGATGCAGACAGATGGGAGTAGCCACGCACCGGGCAGTGATGCCGAGTCGGCGGGCGGCGCTGCGCTGTGACGGCTGGTGCACACATGAGAGACGCTGAGCCCTGGTGTGGCTGGCGCAGGTGGACTGGGGCCTGCTGATGCGCAACGTCATGATTCATCCTGACGAGATCAAGGAGCTCAAGCAGCCGAGCCACATGACGCTGCACTTGCTCCCAGGACATTGGCAGGTGCAGCCCGAGCCCGAGGCGAACTGGAAGGACCCGGCGACGCCTCTGTCCCGGCTGACCGTGGTGGACCGGCGCAACCCGACTGCGCCTAAGATGAAGAAGCTCCACAAGCGCTCAGGGAGTAGAACCTACGGCAGCTACCCTGAGGGCGCTGGCTTCAGCATCGGTGCTGTCCTACACAGAGTCGGTGTCGCGACTGAGCTACGGCGCAGCGCGCGGCGCGTCGGCGGTCAAATCAAGGACGCTTGGGGTGACCAGGTCTGAGCCATCTCCTCCTCAGCTACTGCCCTCCCCACATCGGCCCATCCCTTGCCTGCTTGGCATCATCTAGGTGTGAGGCAAGGCCGTCAGAGTCCACACAGGAGCGGTGTGTGGGGTGGGCGAGGCTCCCCGCCGACATGTCGCGGAATTGGCCAAAATGCTGGGCATCTCAGATTAAGGAAGGCAACTTGTAATAGCAAGGAGCATTCTAGAATGCAAAGGGGTAATTCCAGATGCTAGCGCATTCACGAATGCAGTTCGCATTCCAGGATGGTCGACGCATCCTGGAATGCGTGGACCATCTTTGGAATGCGGTGTGCATCTTGAAATGCAACAAGTCAACTCGGCATTCTGAATTGAAAAATGCAATCTGAATTGATCTTTTGCAACTCAAAATGCCCTCAGCATCTCAAATTGCGGGTTCCCCGCCCCTGACGCCTCTCCATCATCTCACAGTGAGACGTCGGCGGTGGTGGCGGTGTGACCGATCGAGCTACAAGAGGAGCTCGTTCAGCATGATCAGGGTGGACGGAGCAGTACCTCACTTCCTCAATGGGTGAGCTTCAGACCTCCCAGAAGTCACAGCGCCGACCTTGTTCTTGTTACAGTATTGAGAACGAGTAAATACTACACGCATGGGCTGCGCGCTGGTCGATGATGATTTTGAAACCTTTAAGCACAAGAACAAAAGAGGGCACGGGTAAACGACACGAATTTCAATGGACAGAGGAACGCTAGTAAACAACGGGGGAGAGCAAGTGGACAGAGGGAGAGCAAGTGGACAGAGTGGCAGATGATGCCTTGGGAATCGAACGCAAGCCACTTGAGATGACCCCGATGGGGGCTCTTCTCACTGGTTGCTTACTCAGAGGAGGAGGAGGAGGACGAGGACGAGGGGGGGATGTTGACGTAGCGACTCTGCCACCACTGACAATCTATGTCGCAGAAGCCAGAAGTCTTGCACGTCTTTTCATCCGAGCACGGGTCTTGTTGAGAGTAGAAGTTACCAAAGCGCGTCTTGCAGCACCCCTCGGGGTTGGGGCAAACCATATCACACATTTGGAGGTCGGCACTCTTCACCTCATTCACCAGCGTCTCGTCGGTCGCCTGGCAGGAGCCGTTGGGGCACCCAATCGCGTCCATCGCACAACCCAAGCGGTAGACCTCACGAGAATGGAGGATAATCTCCTTGGTGCCCTTGAGAGCCCAGAACCCCTCCGCATCTTCCGAATTATACTCAGCCCCGCCAAAGGTATGTCCAGAGGGGCAGCTAGGATCAAACAACTTTCCACCTTCGATCATGCAGTAAGGGGAGGTGGCAAACCTTGCCATATCCTTGATGGTCAGCTCATAGATCTGCACCATGTTGTTGGGGTCGCGGTCCCCGTTGGCGAAGTTCCAGCATTTGCGGTCTCGAAGCCAGTCAATTCCCGCGAAGTCGACGTCCTCGAGGTTTATCTCCCACGGCTTGTCGATGGATGCCGCGTCAGTGCAGCGGTACCCCCTGATGGTCAGAGGCCCGGAGGTCGGCAACGGCTTCACGACGCTGGGATCGTTGACGGAACGGATCGTCGCCACTCCCTTTTTGTTGAACACCTCGTAGACAGTCCGTGGTTCCTCGCGACAAACGTAGCAGTTGTCAACGCCACGGCATGTCTCAACTTTCTCCTCGGAACCAGGGCAGCACTTCAACTTCGTGTGCTGCGGGTTGTCGTACATATACATATGTACATATCATGGCCTGCCTCCGTACACGACATGTCGAGGTCAAGCCCATGGTACTCCTGCCCGTCCGGTACGTTGATCAGAGGCTCCGCCGAGAACTCCGCTGCCGCCGCCCCATCCGCCGTGGCCGCCGCCGCATCCACCGTCGTCGCCGCCGTCGCCGACGCCTCCGCCGTCACTGCAGCCTCCGCCACCGCCACCATCTGGTTCTGAACCGGCAAGGCGTACGCGACTGAGGCCAGCGCGAGCACAACCATCATCCGCAGCGACATTGTGAGGAGTGAGGAGGAGCGAAGAGGAGGAGCGAAGAGGAGGAGCGAAGAGGTATTGAGACTTGCGCGGTAAGTCGGCGGCCGGTTTTTGTCAGGAATTGCATTTCGCTACAATTTCGGCGGCCTTGGGTCCTTGGTGCTGGGAGAGGGTCGATTCCGCATGGTACGGGACTATGAAAACACCACCCGTGCAAGAAAAAAGAATTTGACGGGCTGATTCGGGACAAGGGCTTGGTGTGGTATCAATCATCCAGGGACACGTGTTCGATACAAAACAGGCAGAGAAGAGAGTGCGCGTGCGATTACTGTCGTACTTGCGAGAGTTTTACTTGCGTAGGGAAGTGTCGCAGGAGCGCTCCCTGTACAGGGTGCGGGCGGACCCTCACAGACGCTGCAGTCACGAAAACAGTGGCGGTTCTCTGGCTGGCCGCTTCTGGATCTCCTTGAGCATCTTCTGGTATTTTTCCTCAATCTTCTTTGAGGTCGCCAAGAGATCGCCGCGGTGCTGTGGCAGTGGCTGCAAGGCGGCGCGAGCGGCGCGAGAAAGGGCTGACATCGCGAGATAACAAAATTTGCATCTGCCGAAGGCCGACTGCACGCTAAAGGCTACACGGGGGGACTGTCTCATGGGGGCATTCGATTTCTCAAAATAAATAAATAAATAAAAACGGACACCTCTCTACTGTGAGATGGGTAAAAAGGAACAGGCCCCCGCCCTTGCGATCTTTGTGCAGGGTTCTTTGTGGGTGTGGTCGGCGACTAGCCGGGGTCGTCCTCCCGATGGGGGACTAGCACTAGCCGTCTTCCACATGGTCCCTCGGGTCCCTGCTGCTCCTAATCTCTTCGTACATCCTCCTGCTGATCTCCGCAAAGTCCTGCTCCCTCCCTCGTCTCACCCTGCGCGTCTGCTCCGCCTCACCGTCTTCTGCCCTGCGTCGTCTGGCGACGGGTCCTCCATAGTCGGTCGAAGTCGCCGCCCTCCTCGTGCCTCTTCCCAACGTTCCCTCGGCGGCCGATGCCGTCTGCTCCGGCTCCCCAGTCCCCGGGTCTGCCCTGCTCTCGTCTGCGCTAGTTTCTGCTTCGTCCTCACCGGCGTCTCTCCTCTTCCCTCTCCCCTTCTTCTCGATTTCTCAAAGTCCGCACAGCCTCATTTGTTGTAGAGCCGGGCGCCGCAATCTGCAAGGACGCCAACCCCTGGGAACTGCCCTCGTTGGAGGAATCCCTGGGAACTGCCCTCGTCGTCGACGACGCGCGGCTGGACCTCGTGCCGCTCTCGCTCGTGCCAGAGCCGGCCTCGACACCGAGGGTTGGAGGAAAGGGCGATCTTGACCCCCGGACTCAGCGATGGCATATCGAAATCTCTCCGTCTTTCTACAGATTGAGAGGAGTGATGATAACCGACGAAGAGCTCAAGCTGGCCGACTTTGGCTCTTGCCGCGGCATCTACTCGAAGCAGCCCTACACTGAGTACATCTCGACGCGATGGTACCGCGCGCCCGAGTGCCTCCTCACAGACGGCTTCTACTCCTACAAGATGGACATGTGGGGGATCGGCTGCGTCTTTTTTGAGGTGCTCTTGCACGTACGCAATACAGACTGCACTCACCCGCGCGCCGGATGCGGAGTGGGGAGTAGCCCAGCCCTCGCCACACTCGTGGAGACTCGCATACCCGCACACCGTAGGTGCTCTCGCTCTCGCCGCTCTTTCCCGGCACAAACGAGCTCGACCAGGTCGCCAAGATCCACAAGATCCTGGGCACGCCGGGGCGAGCGACCTTCGAGAAGCTGAAGAAGCACTCCAATACCCACATCGATTTCAACTTCCCGCACAAGGCCCACCCACCGTCACGCCCGCTCGGATGCCCCCCTTCCATTCCACTCCCCAAACCTCGCGCTCGCGCCACCGCCCCGCCGAGCACCTCCCCCTAGGACGCCCTGCCTGGGCCTCCCGCGCAGGACCCCACGCCGCTGCAGTCGCTCGTGCCCCACGCCCCCGCCGTCGGTGTCGACCTGATCTCAAAGCTGCTTGCCTATGACCCCGACGAGCGGATCTCCGCGAGGCAAGCCGTCAAGCACCCGTACTTGCGCGAGCTGCACCTGCGCAGCGACGCGGTCGTGCAGCCAAACACCAAGCGGACCGAGGTGCCGCAGCACCAGCTGCCGACGGCACCGGGCGGCGGCGCGCCTGGCGAGGGTGGGGACGCGCAACTGCCGACGCAACCGGCAAAGCATCGGAGGTCAACCAAGGAGTCTCGCTCCGCCGTGGCCGCGCCCTCCGAGCGCGCACCGGCAGCGGCGGTGGGTCGGACCGACCCCGCGCTGAGTGCCAGCGGCGGCGAAACCTCCCTCCCTGGCATCATGCGCGTGGCAGCAGCCGGCGGTAGCACAGGGTGCACTGGGACGGGCGGGCGGAGTGAGCCGGGCAACGCCAGCCCCCGCAGCAGCGGGCTCCTCAGCAGCAGCGGGATAGGCAGCTACGGCGCGTCGAGCAGCTGCGGGGTGACCGGCGTCTATGGCGCCGCGGGAAGCTGCGGTGGGTCGGGACGCACAGGACTTCTCGACAAGGACGCCCGCCGATGGAGGTGGTGCGCACATTCCTCACAGTCGTGAGGTCTCGCAGTAGGGGCCGACCCGTGCCAGTCGAGCTCGTTGCCTCAGGCCTCGAGCAGGCGCCATTCCACTCCCGCGCATCCCCTCGCAGCCTCATCGTACTGCCTGACAGCTTTGACACCCCGTGCCTGACACCAGCAGCCCCCGTGCCCGACAGTTTTGACACCAGCAGCCTGCCGAGCATGCGCAACACGGTTGCGGTTGAGGCAGCGTACGAGGGGGGCAGCAACCTCCCCTTGATCGTGTCGGGCGCCGGCGGCGTGGCTGGCCGCGCCGGGCTCAAGATCGATGCCAAAACTTTGCACGGGCAAGGGGCTGGCTCACAGACCGGGCGGGCCTCGATGAAGGCGGGTCCGTACAGGAGGGCGGGGGCGGGCGCTCGGAAGGGAGCCAGCCACAGAGCAGCCGCGGGTCGGTTGGGCCACCAGGTGGCATGCGCTTGGCGGGCAGCAGCCGCCCGACCGTGCCTGAGGATAGTGCTTTGGACCGTAGGAGGCGCTGGAGCTCGCCGTCGGTGACCACTCCACAACCTACCCTGCGCCGCGCGCTCATCATGGCTTGGGCGGGGGCGCAGAGGGCGGACTGGCGCCCACGCCCGCGCCGCCGGTGCTGGTGCCGGTGGCGAGAGCTCACGGGCCTCTTGTCGGACTGGACGCTGTGGGTATCGCGAAGCCGATCTCAAAGCCCAAGTACGTCAGCCCTTACTCGCAGGCTGCGATCAGTCAGTCGAGACGGACAAAGAACTCGTAGGACGTAGCCCGTCGGTGTGTGTGTGACGACGTCGATCGAGCGGGGCGTGCGACCGTGCATTCGCGCGGTCTCTCGCCCTGTCGTGTGCGGGCCGATCTCGTCGTCGACTCTCGACTCTCGTGTGTGTGTGTCTGGTGTGTGTCTGGTGTGTGTCTGGTGTGTGTCTGGTGTGACGGCTTTATGTGCGTGTGTGTCTCAGGTGTCGGGTGTGCCATGACGCATGAGCATGTAAAGTTATGGGCGGGGACCCGCGGCATACCCATTGTAGACCTAAAGCCTAGAGGTGTCTCCTTTCCATTAATTTTAAACCAAAACACACACAACTGTTCGACACAACTGTGACACCACAGACACAAGCTCTCACACGTGGTCTCTGCGGGACGATCTTTCCGCAGGCGCGGGAAAATATAACCCCCTTGTGTGGCCCGTCCGAGCCCTCCGTCACGCGCGGGAAGGCAGCACGCGCGAAGCCCGGCCGCCTCGTCCTCCCCCGCCGCGGCCTCCGAGCCCCCGGCCCGAGCCCCTGCGGCTGCCGCCCGCCCGGCCGCCCCTGCCGCCGCCGCCGGCCGCCTCGCGGCTCGAGTCGCCCACAAGCCGCGACGGAGGGGGCCCGGGACCGACTTTGTATGTCCGAAAGGTGCCCAAGTCTCGCTCGCGCGGTCTCCTCGCTGCGATCAGCGCCTCGCACTCGTCCCTGCCTGGCTTGCCACCTGGCCACCCCCCCTTTCGCCGGGCCGGGTACGGGCGCGCGCCGGGCCGCGACGCCATGTCCGGCGCGTACCGCATCTTGCGGCCGTACTCGGTGAGCAGGCGGTGCATGTAGCAGCGATGCGCCGCTTCACAGAGGTGCGTGTGCACGAGCGACGAGGCCGCCTCGGCGACCTTTCGGCTCCGCTCGTCCGCGGCGTCCGCCGCCGCGAGCACCTCGGACAGGTTGGTGCTCACCTTGAGCTGCGGGGGAAGAGGTGCGGGGGAGGAGGTG